AATGGCAAACCACTTCTGAAAAACCTTGCCAAGAAAACTGCAGGGACTTGTCCAGGCAGTCTCTGAGAATCAGATCCAATTGAGTGGATTAAAAAAAAAAAAAAGCATGATGACTCTAGGCAACTCACAACAATCCATAAAAAGCATAGTTAAAAACAAAGGTACCCTTCCCCTCAGGCGCCAGACCAGTCATCCTCACAGCTCAACCCCCATCCTGGCCCAGTGCTTGAGGAAAGAGCCAGGTCTTCACAGCCCTCTGGAAGACTAAAAGGGTAGGGATCCCTCAGATCTCAGGGGGGAGGCTGTTCAAAAGGGCTGGGGTGGTCACCGAGAAGGCACACCTCTGAGGTCCCGTCAGGTGGCATCATTTAAGGGAGTGGACCTGGAATGTGCCCGTCCTATCTAACCTAGTAGGATGGGCAGATACCCTCAGGGAGAGGCAGTCCAGCAAGTAGGGCTTTAAAGGTAATAACCAACACCTTGAATTGCACCTGGAAAACAACTGGAACCCAGTGTACCTCATGCAGCAGTGATATTGCTCAGGTGAATCTCACAACACCCAAAACTGCACATGCTGCTGAATCCTGGACCAGTTGCAGGTTCCAGATGGTCTTCAGGGGCAGCCCCATGTAGAGTATGTTGCAATAATCCAAACTGGAGGTGACTAAGGCATCTGTGAACAAGGCTTCCCGGTCCAGGAATGAGCAGAATTGGTGCCCAAGAAGGATTTGTGTGAAGGTGACTGCTACCTGCTCTTCCAGCAGGAGCCATGATTCCAAGAGGACCCCAAAATTGCACACCAGATCTGTGCAAGGGAATATTACCCCATCCAGAGTCACAGGTGTCAACTCTCCTGATCCTGGAGGCTAAAAACCCACAACCACTCTGTCTTACTAGGGTTGAGTCGCAGCCGGTTTCTCCCTATTCAGGCCCTTACAGCCTCCAGGCACTGAACAGCATCATTTGCCTGGCATGGGGTAGAGATGTGTAATTGGATATCATCAGCATGCTGATGATACCGAACTCCATGCCAGCGAATGACCTCTCCTAGCAGCTTCATATAGATAATATTGTATTTTTAAAATGTGCAGGCATGACTTTATGGTGGAAAACAACAGGTAATGACTTTTTTAAAAAGTACTTTTTATCTTTATGAAAACTAGTTCTGCTTAAATGTTTCTACCAAACTAAATAAGACCATAAGCATTTAGAGGTTATACTTATTAGTTATTTGTTTCCAAATAAAAATAGGAAGAATAATATAAATGTTACCAACTTTAATTAGAGCAATCAAAATTTTAAATAAATTATATTATTGATCAATTAAACATTCTAAACACTTTCTATTTTACAGTAATAACAAGTAGTGGCTACAGTCCAAGATCATCACATCAGTACTCACCGCAGCTATATCCCTCCAAGTTAGTGTGCATGTATATTCTAATACCTTATTTGCTTATCATTTTTTGCAGGTATTTCATTTAAATATTGGTTTAAATTTAAGAACTACATTGCATTTATATAAAATGCATGTTATATGGAGATTGACACTTTGGTCTGGTTTAAACTCATTTCTTGCTTGGTTAATGCCATTAATATCTGGGTGATTTATTTATATGAAGAATCAAAGTTTTAAAATTTCTCACTTATATGCACTGGCATCATTATGTTCTGGATTTGTAATCCCCAATCATCACCACTCCAACTATCCAGCAAGCACACATCTTTGGAGGATGGTAAAATCCTCCTGATTAAATCTAGGGCAACATTACTAGGAAAAGTAATGTTGACAAGAATGACAAGGCACCTGTATGTTTCTAAGTCTGGTTACTATTAGGTATAGCCCTCTATTAATCTTATTTTTGTATCTTTGCATTGGATAATAGTTGTAAAAGATTTGCAGTTTCATGTGTAAATAAACTACTCATGCATCAGTTTTCTTACTACTTAAGTGCATATTAAAACCCTGCTACTCCCCATGACATTTGACATTTAAGGACTGTGTTGCAGAACATATGGCCATTGTTGTATTACTGTATGTACTTTATTGTTTTTATGTGTTTGTACTGTATTTATAGCATTTGTTAAATTCAGTACAGCATTTGGGGATTATTTAGTTGATAGAAATACGTTAAATAAATAATAAAATGGATTACAATGTATACTTATTAAATCATTTTGTTAAATTTAATTTATCTATTTTTCATTCATTTCATTTTTCCTGTCAAACATAGCTATCTTAGTTTTTGATGCATTAATTTCCAGAACCATATCCCTTGTTGTGTCATGCAGTTTATCTAGCATTCACTGCAAATCATTCAGGTTCTCAGCCAACAGCATAGCACCATCTGTGTACAAATGTACTTCCATACTCATGTCCCTAACCAATACAACCCAACAACATAATAGTTTTTCTTTCTACATTTATGTGTAAATATCTTGACCAAATATTTGTTTGGTAAGACAAAGATTTTGTGTTACTCCCTGCTCAGTGTTGAGTATTTGTTGAGCACCCCATTCATTATCATGCATGCTTGACTTCATTATATATTATTGTTACCACATTGAACAACCAGCCTTCAGTTCCATATTTGTGCAAAAAACTCCAAAATTCAAACCTATGCACTTTTTCTATATCAACAAACATACAATAAACTTTGTTTCTCACATTCATACATTTCCTGTTGATCTGCTGAAGAGCAAAAATCTGGTCTGCATGCCTTCTTCCTGGTATAAAGCCATATTGCACTTCCCAGATTTTACTCATTGTCACCCATCGAACCTTTGCAATCAGAATTCTCCGAAATACTTTCCCGGGCATACTTAACAAACTAATACCCTTTTAGTTTTTGCATTCAGTCTTCATATATTCCCTATTGGAACAATAACAAGATTCTTTCAATTGCCAAGCATAAATGCAGCCTTTGCCCACATTTTAAACAAGTTCCATACATTTTCCATAAGCAAATCACATACTGTACATGTTTTAAAATATCTGAGTGACATCATCAACACTTGCACCCTAACCTTAGCTTTTACTGTTTCTCAACACACTCATAGTATTTATGACAACCTTGTCATTTTTTCTTCAATCACTAATATTAAATTATTCAATTCCAAAGTTTGATATTGTAAAATTATTGTAAATTCCCTGCAATTGTATTGTCAAAGGCTTTCACGGCTGGAATATGATGGCTTCCAGAACACGGCCACACAGCCCGGAAGACCCACACCAGCCTTCCCTACAATTCTCAAAAATACTCTTTCCAACATTCCTTCACTTCAATTACATCCTTAGTCCTTTCCTTTTACAGTCTAAACCACATGTCCAAAGTCAAAACAGTAATCCCAATTTATAAAAACAGCATTGACTTGCCTAATCTCCTGGCCCAAACACCCTAGGGAACAGCCACACCTTCAGTGCCTTATGAAAGCTAAGAGGGTCTGGATTTCTGAAGGGATGCTGTTCTCCAGGGAAGGTGCTGCCACAGACAAGGCATGACTCCTGGGTTCAACAAGATGACATTGTTTGATAGAAGGGATCTGGAGCAAACCCTCCCTGCTAGACCTGATGGGTTGAGCAAAAACAGTGGGAGACAGCCAGTCCTGCAAATAGCCTGGCTGTATTCCATGTATGGTTTTATAAGTGATAACCAGCACCTTGAATCATACCCAGAAGCCCACTGGGAGCCAGTGCAGCTTGTGGAGCAATACTGTTTTATTTAGAATGGGTATAATGAGAAATGCCAAACACTGTATGCGCCAATGCATTCTGGACCAACTGCAGCTTCCAAGTGCTCTTGGAACATGTTACAGTAATCCATATGGGAGGGGACTAAGGCATTATTGCTTGAATCAACGTTCTTTGTATTACCTTATGTAACTGGTCTTTCTCCCACCCCCTGCTGTTTAGGCCCTATCCACATATTCTTTCTACACCAGCAGCTCAAACAATGTCTGCCTATGCCAGTCAGACGCAGTATTCAGGAATGCAGCAACCAGCAGTATATACAGCCTACTCACAGACTGGGCAACCTTACAGCTTACCTGCTTACGGTATTTGACTTCCAGTTGTTCTTTATTCTCTTACAAATATATTTGGCATCATGGAACTTCCATGTCTTTCCCCCCATCGGTAAGAATCAGTTGAAAATTAATTTCTTAACAGATTTGGGTGTAATGTTGCCAGGCATCAAGACAGAAAGTGGACTTTCACAAACACAATCATCGCTGCAGACTGGGTGTCTGAGTTACAGCCCGGGGTTCTCCACACCACAGCCGGGCCAAGCACCATATTCATACCAAATGCCAGGTAGGTAATCCATTGTCTTTCCTTGTTCTTTTTGAATTGTTTTAAAATTCATGCCTTTCTTATATAAGGGGTAAGTGTCATGAGTAAAACTTATTACCTGTCTGATTCTTTCATTTCTTTAAAAAAAAGTATGATGATCTGAAATTTTAGTTTGATAATTTTATTGGCATTTTTACACGTTTATTATAACTTATTTTAAAATTTATGGAAGAGCTATTTACTAAAGCTATTATAAATTTACACAGATTTTATTCATAGTAATAAATCATATTAATATGAAAATATTGATAGTGAGAATGATAGTGGCAACAATCGTAACTAAAGCCTATATGAAATAGCCTTTTGGGGATCCATATCTTGATCATATCTGTATAATTTGTGCTCTTTTAACAGTTCTGGGTCTGGAATACCATGCCCAAAGTTAATAATATTTTTAATGTTTATGACAGTTCTTATATTTATGTACTGTTGTAGCTTGACAAGAAACAGCTATAATAGGTTTTTAAATGTAAACAAAACATTCAATAATAAAATGCTTGTAGGTTCAGAGGCATTTGGCAGGGGAGGGCAAGTGATAAAATATGTGTCACAAGGCAAGCAGCATTTGTTACATGTAATGGTGTGACACAAGCATTAAAGGGCAGGCCTTGTGTTATGATATCATGATGCATGTTTTGTCATTTTGGTTTAGTGGTTAGGAATGGAAGTGTGGGTAGGATAGCCATGTGTCCATATTAGAACAGGAAGTGTTTTTAACAGAATCAATAGGGATAGGCAACATTTTGGTGATTAACATGGTACCTAACATGGTGGGAGGCTTGCTGAGGACTGTAAAGTGAGTGAAACCACAATACAGTCAAGATATATTTATTTTTTTATTCACTCAATTTATATAGCTGCCCATCTCATTTCTACATGACTCTAGGTGGCTTATAATAAAACAAATAAAAACACAAAATACATAATATAAAACAAAAATAAAAACACATAGCAGGCAGGCATGATCTAACCTATCATCCATACAATCAGAAGACAAGCTCTAACCCACACCCAGGGCCCCAGGCTCAAGCACAAAGCCAAGTTTTCAAGGCTTTAAGAGAGGTCAGTAGGAATGGAGCCAATCTAATTTCGGGCGGATGCTGTTCCAAAGGGCAGGTGCCATGGCAGGAAAAGTTCCCTTTCTGGGCCCTGTGAGCTGACACTCCCTAGCTCACAGTACCCAGAGCATTCTCTTCCTGCCTGATTGGATAGGGCAGGTAGAAAAAATTGGGGGAGATGGTCCCATAAGTAACCCAGTCCTAAGCCATGAAGGCACCCTGGATTGAACCCCAAAGCCAGTGCAGGTCACAGAGCAGTGGTATCACATGTGCTGAGTAACTGGCACCAGTAACTGCCCGCGCCTCCACATTTGGAACCAGTTGAAGTTTGCAAAAACCAATCTGGAGGTCACAAAGACTACATGATATTGTCAAGGCTGGGTTTGGGGAAGATTTTCCAGAGTTTTCTTTGTTTTTTAATAGTGATATGCCTAATTCAGAACTCACATTACGGTTTTCATAAGTTCATCTAAAAATTTTAGAAAATTGCCATGAGTTTTAAGCAGCCTTGGTTGGAGAGGGTTCCAAAAGCAACAAAATGGGGACTTTGGGGTTCCATGCAATCCAAGGCTGTAGGTTTCTCAGCCTTGGTTGTTATACATTTGAAGTGATCTTTTTGCTGTCCTCACTATCATTCTACTCCTTACCTATTTATGTTGATAATATTGGAGAGGTATGAGCTACTCTCTGTTTGACAGTGGTATGACCATCTTAAATATGGTCACTTCATTTCATGAACTAGAAGATCTCCTAATCCTTGAAACTACATTACATATTCTGTCCTCCCCAAGCCATTATCAATATATTTTACCAGTGTTTTACTACAGCTGTATTAAAGAAAGGAAAAAGCCAGGAATCAAGAAAGGAGTTCTTGAAACTGGGTAGGTTTGCTGATATATGAATGCCTGCGTTAGTGTTTCTGTGAAGCTCAAAACAAGTTATTTATGAAAGCTGGATTGTTATATATGGAAGCAACTACAAACATTGACAGTTTATTTGATTTTTAAAGTATTCAGTGCTCTTTATAAACAATACTGTACTGTACTATAGTTAAGCATAACAAATTTCCTTAATAAAAGCTGAAGCTGTGAGATAACTGCATATTTTAATTACACACTCTATATGTTTGTTTGAAAACTTCCTTTATTTCTCATTTGTCTGAATTTTGAATAATGTATTACTTGGCTCTTATGGGGAATTATTCTTTTAACTCTAGGTTCTAGTTTTACACCATCCTCCACTATTTATGCAAACAATTCAGTATCAAATTCTACAAACTTCAACAGTTCACAACAGGTATGTTTTTCCCCCCTTATAAGATACAAACTATTATAAAGTTGATTTGGCAATTTACAGTGGACAAGATTGTTGTTCTACTGCTATTTTTTAGGTGAAAATTGATGTAGTTTTAGAGGTGTTAGTCTTCATTAAAATATTGTTTGTAACATTCTAGGATTATCCATCATATGCAGCATTCAGCCAAAATCAGTATCCACAGTATTATTCAGCATCAACGTACGGTGCATACATGACATCGAATAACACCACAGATGGTACCTCTTCATCCTCATCAACATACCAGCTCCAGGAATCCCTTCCAGGGCTTACTAGCCAACCAGGTACCATTCAGTGATTTTGTTGTTCCACTCATTTAGAACTGGTACAGTCATGGTATAGGTTCATGTTAACATTAATTGCAGTTAAATGAGAACAAGAACAGATTTCACCAGTATAAATTTGACATCCAAGGAAACCTTATCAGAAGTTGTCTTGCTTGTGCCAGTACCAACAGATAATCATTTATCATTAAGTGAGAAGATCTCCTTTATTTATTTCTCCTCAGAAATAAAGCATGTTCTTACATGGTTCCAATACAGCACATGTAAAAAAAAAAGGATTGGGGCAGATACAGAATCACCCAAAATCAGGCATGAAGAAAAAAAAAAGCAACTCTCAAATGGCTGAATAAACATTCTCTGCCAACTTTATCTGACTGTGTCCTGTTCTCTTTGGGGCTGATACCTGCTTCCCACAGGGATTCCAAGCCAAAAACCCACTGAAAACTCCTAACTTCCTCTCCTTCTAAATCCCACCCGGCTTACTCACTGGAGAGGACAGTGGTTGTGAACTAATAAATCCTAAAGTTTCCCCAGCTTGTCAGTAAGCCACTGAAAACTAAGAATCCTGGGTTTCAGCTAGCTGCTCAGTATAGAGAGTCCTCTTAATACACTACAAAATTCATGATAAAAATTAATCATTTCCATTCTTTTCACTCCAGTAGATCTAGAACAAAAAACATGCATAAAAACAATTTCAACAAGAGGAAGGCTGGCTTAGGCTCTGGTCCTCATTCATATACTGCATCAAAAAGAATGCCTATTAACTCTTTGCCTGCATTCTTAACTGCTTACATTCTTTGGAGGGGCTACACAGTAATTCTCAGCTGGGAGAGGAGAGGATGGCCAGCTGTCCCAAACTGTGGCTCAGAGACCTGTGGATAGGGGCCATGCCCACACCTACCTCAGAGGCCCTGTAGGAACTGGATTATTCCCACTCTGCCTGATTATATCACCTGCAAAATGCTCAATGGGAAATGGATTTCATTGGAAATGAGCAAGTTTAATGGACTCTACTTTTGAAATATATAATATATATTTGAAAAATAATATATATTTTTCCCAGGATGCATTGTGTTCATTAATTTATGTTTTTATCATTTAATTCTGTTATTTACAATCTTCTGTATGCCATGATCATCACCAGATGGGCTCATAGTGTCTATTACTCATAATGACTTATTTATTATTTGGTTCAATTTTGGTTCAGCCCAACTCCAAACCAACTCTGGGCAGACTTTGGTCAAGCAAAACTTTCATATAATGCTTTTTAGTGGGCACCAGCCTTAACTACGCCCCTTTCACATGCAGCATTCCCTGCTGTCACTAAGAACAGTCCTGATTGGTTCTGTCATATTTTGTCTGGTTTGACACAAAGACAACAAAATCCCAATTTTACCCTAAGCATGTTCATGCTATTATGTGTAAACTAGGATATCTAATCTAGAGTCTATACTGCAAGCTGGCATATTGCTGTCTGCATCCCACCAACCATGAAGTATATATGGTGTTGTGACATTGTGACACATTATATATTCTTACATATTTTCCTTATTTTCTCTGTCTGAATATCATGGATAAAAATGCAGCATTTGTTGTATGAGGATTTTTAATATGCAAAGCATATTAAGACCAAATGAGAGTCCATTTTAGTATTAAACAATTCACAATGAACTATTGCTCCTTATAAAAAGCAAATGAAGCTGTTAAATTTAAAGTTACTCAAACAGCCATCGGCTTCTGCAATCTGAAAATAGGATCATACCTTGTATCCAAGAACAAGATAGCTGGCCATTCTGATATAGAGATTAGTTTAACGAAATACACTTGGCTGTAAATATGCAGGGCATACAAGATTGACCGGTTACTTACTGAATTGGTTAGTGGGAAATTATATTCTTGTGTACAAACGTCATGTAAAAATAAAGCTTGAAGCAAGTAGTAGTGGTGAATATAAAGTGGAAATAATTATTTATTACTTACTCCGTGGTATAGGGAGAGGAATAGTGTAATTAAAATCAGGTGGTTAAGACATTACCTTAGGCTGGGTTCCCCAGTACAGTTCCTGTGGAACTGATAAGCATGCTGGAACCTTGCCAACTCAGCTTTTTCTGTTTTTATAGCTTATTTTATTTTTAAACAAAATTATAAAGAAAATTGTTGGCATGCCTTAAAGCAGTGCACCACCCTCCAAAATCATCTTCAGTGCCTTTGCATTATGTATAAGGCTTGTGCAGATGAATTGATGAAGCATTTAATTTGCAAGCAAAGTTGTGCTTGTTTCCAGAATGTGTGGAATGTTACATAGAACCTGGAATACACATGCATGTTCATGATAAATACATCACATAGTCCTATCATTGCAGAATGGAGTAGAAGTACCACTTATTTGGGTACTATGCTTCTCTTAATGCAGTCTAATGTTGTGTTTGCATTTTTGTAATCGTACTACACTAGTAGCTCATATTCACGCTATGATGGACTACAGCTGTAAGATGCTTTTTTTATAATATTTTTATTAAAGTTTATATATATAAAAACTAATGCAAAATTATAAAAGACCTAGAAAGAAAGGAAAAAAGAAAGAAAGAAAGAAAGAAAGAAAGAAAGAAAGAAAGAAAGAAAGAAAGAAAGAAAGAAAGAAAG